TCATTCTCAAAAATGGGGTTCCTGCAAATGCTGGTTTATGAGCATGCCTAAGGTGCAATCATGGGCATGACCAGGTACTATAGCGCCACCTTGGGGAGTCATGATAGGGAATAAAAGGTCCTGTTTCTATCCATAATAAGCAAGAATGAAAAAAAAAGATAGGTTGCAGAATTGATTTAGTATTCACTATTCCTTTTTTTTTTTTTTTTTTAAGATGCTTTTACAGGATACTGCAATTCTATTACAGGAGTAATAGAAATGTAATGGTTAATAAGCATAGTAGAAACTTATTTTCTAATATATGAGTGCTTGAAAGCAAATACGTTTCAAAAAAAGACTAAAGGGCTGTTTTTTTGTCATACCTAGATTATAAATGATAATTTAATACGTAAATAAACCCCTGGCAAATGTTTAATCACACTGTGGCAGCAATTCTAACAACACTCTTAAAGTAAAGCACATACGACAGCTCTCCCTGTTGTCAAAAACTCTGTTTTCTTCCCATTTCACACCTGACTTAATGCTCCGTTTAGCTTTGACATCTAGCTGAAGGGGACTCATTAGCTGAGCTATTGGTTTCAATACATTCATGTTGTGTTTTTACAGATGATACCTTACTCTGTCTCTCAATGTTCAATCCTTTTTTCAGTACTAGAAACAGCTACCAAAATAGGTATTGTCAGGGCTGACTTTGTTACGTAATGTGTTTTTCATAGTAAAGGTGTTACTGTTAGCTCAAATGTTTTATGTTTGGCTCTGTTTCTATCCCAGATAAAGCAACTTAAATGGGCACCACTGACATTACTGTAACTTGTTACTTTTTCTTCAGCATAGGAAGTTTAAGTGCTTTTCTAGTTGTTGTATCCATACTCTGTCTTCTTCTTCAGTCAGCTGTGGCAGATGGCTGCTCAGTCTGTGCCAGGTTCTGCTGGGGGTTACTTCCTATTAAAGGGGAGTTTTCCTTTCTGCTGTCGCTACAGGCATACCCAGTGTGAGGGATTTCTGCAAAGTCACCAACCGCATGAATTGACAAGCCACCCTTGCTATGCTCATTCAGCAGGACTATTGCTGCAAAGTCAGACTTCTTGCAGTTGGATGGAGTTTCTTAAATATGAAACCTTTTATGAACTGGAATTAAATAATGAACTTGCCTGCAGCATTCTATAAGTACAATTAAAATAGAATGTATTTCGACAATAGACTTATTTATATAAGTTGAATTCCATTTTTTTGCCTGCAGATTAAATTTGCTGGGACTTGGAGTTATATAAGTAAGCTAAGAATTAAACCTGAAACCTCAAGCTTTTTTCATGTTCAGGACTGATGTACCTGCTATAATAACTGTTTTTTTTTTTTGTTTATTTGAATTAAAATACTTCTAGAAAAAAATCCTTGTCAGTTCACATAATTACACTTTTCTTCTGCAGTTTTGTATGCAACTTCATTGAATACAAGCATGCACACACTCTCATTGCCCATGATTTTCACTAAATTGTACAGTAAATCAGAATCTAAAAAACTAAATGGTATTTAATTATAATTAAATATTCTTGATGAAGCATTATGCTAAAGAAACAGCAGATACAATAATTATTAACATATTGGTAGGGTACTGATAACATTTCACTCATGATTTGGTGGCCATTTAACATTAAAATATAGGCCGTCTTTTTCTGATGTCCTCTGTGAGATTTTCTCTACTCTGTTAGTCCTCATCTTCTCTTCCAGCGTTTGTGCGTCATGCCTTCCTCCAACAGCCACTAATTGTCTGGGCTTCAAGCGAAATCCCATTTCTCTCCCTGTCTGCTTCTCTCCGTCACATGGTAGAGAGGCAGGATATATGGAGATGCAGTGCACAAGCGCGTGTTGCTTAGAGGGGAGTGGGCGCAGATCCTGATGGGAACTGATCCCACTCTCCCCCTGCCGGCAAAAGCAGGATCTGCAACCTCAAACCTCAGCTAAATTAGTCTGAGTCACATGATATGGACTTGAACTTAAGCAAGCGCAGCAGATTAAATGCTAGCTTATTTAAAAATTTTAGATGGGTCAAATCAAATCTAATATATCTGATTCTGTGAATTTTTCTGATACTCTCTTGTTCTCCATCTTGCTCTTACTGTCATGAGCTTAAGCCTTCCGAACTTTCTCTGAAAAATTAACATCTTGCTTTGCCTCTGCTTAAAGTTTTTTTCTTTATTATTGAGCAGGAAGTGTGTGTGCATGTGTGTTTTTTAGTTTTAATACAATGTTGGGCCCATTTTCAGGGAAAATGACACATTGTGGAGAACGACTGCTCCTTGTGGGGCTCGATGACTGGACCCCACACTGGGATTTGCTGTTTTTTTGGTCAGGGGATAAGTTTAAGTCTGAAGTTTAAGTATGAATTGATTTTAGGTCGGGGTTCTGTGTTAGGAGTTAGGTATGAACCCATAATGGTTAGGGCTAGGGTAAGGGTCACGGTTCGGCTTATAGAAAATAATGGAAGTTGTGAATAATTGTTATATTCAACATCTAGCCAGCTGGGACGCCATATTATGTTGTGATGCTTTAAGATGTTTACTGCCCTCCTGGTAGGGGTGGCAAATATCTTTTTTAAAGGGGAACGGTGTTACAGCCTTGCGTTAGAGAGACTCAGACAGCTGTGGCTGGATCAAAGCGTGCAGTTCCAAGCTGAGTTATAACCACAGTCCTGATTTTGTTTTATTACAATACTGAAAAAAAATAAAATACAACTCAAAAAAATCAACTGGGGCTTATTTTAGCTTGATAAGCAGCAGTTTCACTATCTTTTATAGATTTTTATGTAATTATAGGTGTAAATATTCTACATCTTGTTATATACACTGATTCTGAGAAAAAGTGGAAAATACTTGCTTCATAAATGTTTTGTGGCCACCAAAATGCTTAAGTGTTATTATATGCATCAAATAGTAAAGTAAAGTATAGTAAACGCATTTGGCACAATTTGGACACTAAAAGTTCAAAGCCCCACAGCTCTGGAACTGTTATAGCTAGATGTCTGATTTTTTCTGCATTTGTGGTTGACATGATGTAGAACAAATGTAATACAATGAGACCTGCCTTTTCTCAAGCATGTCTTTGTTACTGCTGTTCAAAAAAGACCTAACATTTTCGAGAATAAATAAAACAACTTTCAGACATGTTTGAACTGATGCAGCTTGGGCTGTGTTCTACTCACCTCATTTATATATTCAGAAACCAGAGGGGGTTAGCTTTCAAATAATGTATCACACATGTAATTTGGGCTTAAAGTTCCTAAATTATTTGCTTTTCCATTTGGGTATGCAAAGTAGGTGAGAATTTCCCAAAATGAGGTGGATATTAAGAGGTTAAGTTTATGTGGGCTATTGCAAGTCATTTTTACATTTAGTAAAATCACTCCTCTCTGTTGTTCCAGAGCTCTCACTAAGATTTCTCCTGAAAGAAATCACACTACTAGACCTAGCTGTAAGATATTTTCTAAATTACATTTTTGTAGCAGAAACTAAATTTTAGAAAGTAAAGAAAACCAAATTTTACTCGAAAGAATTAAGTTTTATATATCTAGAAATGTTTACATGTGTTAAGTGTCTGTTCTTACATTTATCAGCTTGACTGAAAATGTATTTATGATATCTGGAATATAATTCTTTATAGTTATAATAATACATATGCTGACCCGTAATATTAGGAATATGGAAATCCGAAATTGATTTATAGACCTCCTAAATGTTTATTCTAGATGTGGAGAATGTCATTTTGTTTGAAATGGTAATTTAGACAAAAAAATAAAAATAAAAAAAATTTCAGATCTCAGGAATACATATTCCAGTATACCTGTGCATATCAAAACGGCTTGCCGTAGGCTGTTGTGACCGCAATGATATTAGGAGATTATTTCTGGAATGGTAGTAGATCAATGTATCTATTTAGGTGAAATCTTGAGGCAGCAGATGAGGATGACAAATAAAAATCTTGTTCTAATATATAGAACCTTTGCATCATCACAGGCATCCCGCCTCCTGTTGATTCAGTCTTCTTTTACATAGTAAATAAGTAGCTGCTTGCAGCTGCGCTTTAGATTTTATCATCCCAATAGATGGTCATTATAAGTGGCTATCAGTCCCATAGAATGGCTTTAGATTGTGCCAGTAGGCTCATTAGGTTATTCTTATCAAGTGAATCTTAATCCTAACCCTAACGTAATTCCTTTTCCCCTGTGGAATTAATGAATCTATTTATGTGTAATCTGAAAATAATTACAGTAGTTCTTCGTGTACTGTAAATATGACTAAATAAAAATTGAATGATCCGCATCTTGAAAATATTACAAATAATACAGACCAAAAACAAGTAATCTCATGCCCTTTCAAGTGAGTTGAAGAATCCTCTCTATAAATATTTTATTTCTTTAAAAAAAAAAATGCAGATCATTCTTTGATAAGATCCTTATCAAATGAACAATCAAACAGTACTACAGTAGTAACCATTCCATATATCCCCACTTTTCGATAGGCCCTTGAATGAACCTTGGTTGGTCCTTGGCTGGT